CGTTAAATTTAACGTTGCCTTTAATTTGACAAAGGTCAAAGTAATTACAAGCATGGTTACTCTGGGTACTCTGTAATTTCAACTATTCGCTATTAAACAAGATTCTGTATAGAACCTTGTATAAGGAACCCTACTAGACAAAATTGGTTTGCCATCTCATATAATTATTACACTATGTCCCTAAAGTATTTTAAGTTAGGCTATAATTAGTTATATGGTAAATAGAAACCGTGAATGTTTATTTAAAACTTAATTTCATTAGAAAATCAGTACTTCAAAGCTTTCTTTTTCTTACTATAGGTACCTTTTATAATATCTTAGCCTACTCAGATATTTCTCAAATCTCGGCACGTAAGTAAATTAATTACGAGCTTTGATAACGTTGAGTTTAATTTAAGAGGTCATGGCTGTTACGTGACTACACTTCATTAGAATCATCTTAGGTATTCAAGTAAGATCCACATATCATCTACGGTTTAATGTTAACTTATTCAACATAAATTCTAACTTCCTCTATATTCCATATGAATGCTGATATCTGAATATATTACTTAATGATTACTACCCATAAGATTTTCCGTTTTACTTATATGACTAGATTTGGAAATTTATTGGCATATAGAAAACACAAAATCGATTCGTAAACCTAATAAATTTGTTTATTTATATACACTTTGTTGTACACCAAAAAAATTTTCAAAAAGTGAACCAAATGTGAGGCACAAAAGGCAATGTCTTCTAGAAATTTTTGGATGAGAAATATGGAAGGCGAAAGCAGCGTGGCTAGTTTACATGATAAACAATTAAATACTTTAAAATACTACACAATCTATATCTCGATAAACGATAATAAATAATATACTCATAAAAATTCAAATAAAATATTTTTCATGCATAATATAATATTTATTGGAAAAAAATTACATTCTGCTAAATTTTTTTTCGAGCACTCTTTTGAATAAGTGAGTGAAATAGGTCATTAGTAAGATATATCGTTGCCTTTAACTTTTCTTTATCCCTTATTATTGAATCTTTACCCTTGTTATACTGTTATAAAGAACTTTATTGACTAACCAATGAACTTAAACGCGCCCTTCACCTTCTCCAATTTGACACGAGATTGATTCAAATCGAGTTCATGCCATTTCCATTTAGAATGCAACCATAATGGGTTGTTTGAATACCAGCATAAGATGATCTACCCCGTCTTTACAGTTCTTAGTCTGTTGGTGAATATTCGAGAGTGACAAATGAACAGATAAAGTTCTAGAGTTATTGGGTACTTTTAGCTGTCTCCTGACATTTGAAGGAAGCGAGAATTCTACAAAATGAGTCCCTATTTGAGGCGTAAAATTGAATCTTGTTATGGATGGAGGGGGCCAAAAAACTTAAATATTTAAGGGAAGCTACCATCTGGGGAGGTAACTAGACGATTAAAGGTGAGGTATTAATTTTATAACCCTCTTCCTCTACAAATGAGAATATATGGTGTCGTTAGGTTTTACCATTTGTTTATAAGGAATTTCGTAGGATGATTGTGTTTTTTTTTTAAATATTTTTGTGCTAATTATAACTAATTTTAACGAAATAATTTAATATACATATAAATCCAAAGATAAAACTATAATTTCAATCAATTTATTTGTAAATTACATGAAAAAATAAAAAAAAAATATAATAGTGCCATTCACAATTACAATAATAATAATTATATATGACCAAATAATTCTTCATTTGAAATAACCACCGCTTCTAAATTAATATATTGTCAATACCTATTTCATAGAACAAAGAAACCATACTTCACCAAGAAGCCTGGCTAAGAACTCCGGGTTCAGTCCCCGGGGAAGTCAATTTCATTAATACTGCGGTCGCTGTTCTATCTCGGAAGGGGAGCTCGTACATTTTTAAATATACCAACCACAATAGAGTACCTGCTATTTGTGCAATGAATTAAGATAAAGGTGTCTGCGTTTTATTAAGGTTCCTTTTACTTTTCCGACAGCGTGACTAAATTGTGTCTTGTTAAATTAAAAAGCACAAAAGTGATTTAAAAAGATCAACCAATAAAGAAGTAGCATCAATGAATAAATCAAATATTATTTGATTTAATATTTTGTTTATGGTTTTTGAAGTTTTGAATATTTTTTTAGCAAATCAGGTATCATTATATTATTATATAATATAATGGGATAATTTACTTTAGATATCGATAGCAACGGTAAATACTTACTTATGTTTAAACTAAACAGGTCAAATGAGTTTCAACAGATCTAGATTTATTTAGAAGTAAATTTTCAATCCTTCGGTTGGATTTTGTTTCTGAAATTTATTGCTATTAATATTTAAAAAGGTTATGATTAGCTGTCTATAATTGGACTCCGATATCGCGTAGCATACACAATAAATATATAACTGAATTCGGTATCCCTTCCTTTAAATCGGTCAAATCCATGATAAATATTCATATTTTTCATGTTTCCACTAAGCAATTCTTCAGTCAAATAACGAAAAATAAAAAATAGTGGTTTCACTGTAGCTGAAGAGCGAAACAATGTAAGTGTAAAAAGAATCATAAAAAGCAGCTTACGTTTAGCAAAATAAAAACTTAAACGGTAATATTATATACTAGCGAATCACCCTCGCTTCGCTCGAGTTCGTCCCTAGCTTGCTTCCCAATATAAACATACATTCCTATTTTCATCCCCTTAGGGGTCACGTTCGGCATAAAAAGTATTCTATGTCCTTCCCAGGGTCTGAAACTATCTTCTTACGAAATTTCATCTAAATCGGTTCAGTAGATCTATAGATTACCCCCTACAACGTCACAACGTCACAAACTCACAATCTCACAAACTTACCCCTTTATAATATTAGTATAGATTAATATTTTGAAGCCATTTAAAGAAATAATGAATATTGTGTAGGTTGCATCGAAGACTGAGCTGTGGCAGTTAATAATATTTCAAATTCGGCTCGTATGGGATTCGTATTCTCAATCACAATATGCACACTGCTCACTGCTATTATAATGCTATACGTCGAGACTCACTAACAGTTAGGAAATTAAGTACATTTTATTCACCCCAAAGCGCACTCTCCAAATAAATTTAATTTAAGATGAGAAAAGTTTTTACAGTGACAGTTAATTGAAAATTAAATACGCTCAGGTAACAGCTGTGTTTTAATACACGGTGCCCTTCTAATAAAGATATAGCTGTTTTGTTAAAAATTTACAAATTAAAATAAGAATGAAAACATTTTTCCATAAAGAAAATATGAGGGTTTAAAGAGTTTTGAGTTTCGCATAGTCTTAGGAGATTACCTTGAAATACTTTTAAAGGGGAGAGGGTGTGGTATGAAAATTGTTTTAGAGTTGTTTTTGTTCGAGAAGTTTATAAAAAACTGTACTATATAACGGTACAGTGGGGGAAGCTTCATTACTTTTAGTCGGGGCACAAATATATATGGGGCAAGCGAGACTTCTTAATCAGAGACAATATAGAAAAAAAATAGTATTATCTTATCTATAGGTACATATAAATTTCTAACGGAGTCCAATCTGTACATTAAATATTTTTGGAAAACATTATTAAAGTATTCATTATTATCGACACAGAGGCCGAATCTATAGTTTTTTGAATTTTTGTCTGTCTGTCTGTCTGTCTGTCTGTGACCGCGTCACGAGATAACCACTGGACAGATTATGATGATATTTGGTATAACGATAGCTGGTTTTTGAGGTCAATATATATGATACTTTTTACTGCGGGAAAATATCTCATCTCTGAGGAATCTATACTAAACGTTATAACCTCACGTTAGTAATAATATAATTCACAACAAAGAACAAAAAAAAATACATATGATATTTATGCTTTTTAGTCTCTATATAATGTAATTTGGATGAAAAGTTATTTGTGACTGAAATAATTAAGCTTTTAGGTATTTTACTTTTTTCTTTGTGGTATAGATAAAATGAACATAGTGACATAGTAAGTTCGTTCTAAAAATCTAAATAGTCGGAACAAATATTCGTAAAAGCATTGGACTTGACCTACTATCTACAGTGCAGCATGCATTTAAAGCATCACTGTGTACTATCACAGTAAATTATTTTAAATGGATATTTATCTATTATTACAAAAAACAAAATTTTGTATATTATGTTTGTGTCGTACGCTTGTGACTCCTATATGCTAAAATGGCTGGACAGATTTCAATGTAATTTTGTACCCAGATAGATTATGAACTGGAGTAACACATAAACTTTTATTACATACCTAGAAATGCACGCGAGCGAAGCAAGGCTATGTCGTTAGTAGGTATATAATAAACATATTAAAAAGCTCTTATAAACTGCATCGTTGAATTAATTACATTATATTCATGGGTTATGATGCTGCAGATACTAAAGCCAATTATGTAAATGGTAGAATCACAGTTATTGTTATAGTCTTGTTACGAGGCAACATACGTAATACGGTATTGGATGTTATTAGCAAAGCTTTAGGTAATGTTGGCTATTGGCTATGTAGCGTGCAATTGAAAATCTATGAGACAAGGCGACATATTTTATGACGCATACACATTCAGAATTAGGATTCTAATATACCAATATTTCATATTACTTGTGCATTTGATTTGGACTAATGGAATCGATAAATATATACTAGATTGTTTATTTAAATGCTGTTTATTATGAAAATTATTTTATTCGTATATTTCTATTGATATAACAAATCACATTTATACACAAGAATAAAATCATTTTACAACATTCTTTATAACAACATATATAATTTAACACGAACCTTAATACAAAAATAATATAAATCAAAAGAAAATAGATTAATCGAAATTATAGTTTTGGCGAAAATTGAAGGCTATGATGGCCAAGGATATAATAACGTATAAATATACTTATTTGTTTAATAATAAACCCTTTCAAAACAGTTCAGCACCAATTTTAAGACGAATTGTATGTGTAAGTATAATTATACTTCTAATCTACAATGAGTAATGCCTGTACTTGGATCGTCAGCCAATGCGAAACAAATTGTACTATCAAATCTCTGATAAGCTTGTCTGTGTTGGTTAACATCTATATTGTTATTAAATATAACAAAAGGAATAAAATTTATTGTTGCTACAGCTGCTCTTGAAATTTCTTCAGCTCGGCCTTCTAGTGCGTCTCCAGTTGTTGATATGCAGTAGTCCACATCAATTAAATTCACGCCAACAGATCGAGCACAACTCAAACTTCTTTGTCGAAATGCAGGGAAGGGTTCAGTGAATTCACACGACATATATTGTACCTTAGCTTCATAATTACCTGAAAGTAGACTTAGAACGCACCTGTGAACTCGATTAGCCCAACAACCGGGTTCTCCAAATTGACAAGTGAGACTGCCATCAGCATTTCTTATTGCTCTTCCCCAAGGAACAAATTCTATATTCAAAAAATTCTTATATTTTGCAAATGTTGGCACAACTTGGGTCATGAAACGGACAGCATCAGGACATCCTGCCGTTGTTCCAATCTGAATGCTAATAGTTCCATTTACAGTTTGTAATGGAGTTGCAGACGTTCCGTACAAATGCAGAAGGGTTAAAATTAAAGTAGCTAAGTACACCATATTTAGCGTATCATATAACACTGAATTATATTTTATGATACCACTAAACGATAAGATAATTCGGGTCTAATGTAAAAATAATTATTTCATGTATTTATTGATTAGATTACCAGGTATATAGATAATGATGAAAAAATTCGAATATTTTTCATTTGCTTGAAGCAATTAATAGTGTGCTACTAAGAAAATTAAAAAATGTTTAGATAAAATCAAAATTAACTTTATTCAACTATAAGTATTTTTAAATGACCATAATTTCAATAGAGTCGTTGTAAATAGACCGTGAGTAAGTTACCACCGGTTTGAAATAAACTTAGCGATGAAGTCAATATATAAATAGCCAAAAATATATAAATAAGCTATTGTGAAACTCAACAGTTGCTCTTTTATATTTCGGTTTACAATATTTTTAATAAATATAGTGGCTACCCCGTATATTATGGGTCAATTTATTTTCAATATAGACAATTTCGTGTAATCGAAATATGTTTACCTACCAATTTCTATTTATTAATTACTTATTATTATATAATTGATGAAAATTTTTACAGATTAAGTTTTATTAAGTAATTAGTTACTATAATACTATCCTACGTGCTTATTTCTATTTAGTACACTTTAAGTGCACGTTCTTTTGTATGCATACGCGGTATCTTCATCTATTATGAACCAATTTTCATGATCCTTTTTTAAGTATTAAGTTATATTTCAAAAGTAGTAGGTCTAAATTTCTAGGAAAAAAATCCACCTCAAAGAGTATAATAATTACTTAAGAGTGCTTTGAAGTCTGTGTGGTGTGAAACAAGGAATCAAAGAACATTTCAACTGTTTCAAATGTCAAACTATTTCAAATACCCCCTAATTATATTTCAAATTTTCCAAAGAATATTGGATGTAATTAAATTAATATTAGTTGACGACCTTTTAATATTATCATTATAATAATGATAACGCACTTGCGTTTCACTCAATTTGAATCTACGTAATAAGTATTTAGAAGTGACAATATGGTAACTCACCTTAAGAATAGGATACTAATTAACTGTAGAAATAAAACGTTATCTGCTAAATGACAATGCAGCAGCTAACAATAAGTCATGATTTTAGTTGATGTGTTAACATATTTTATTGTAAAGGTTATATTTTACAATGTGTGATGCCTGTTGTAGGATCATCTGCTAATGCAAAGCAAATTGTACTTTCAAGTCTATATAATGCTTGGAAGTGTTGGTTAAAATCAATATTGTTGTTAAAAATAATAAAGGGATTAGCATTCATAGTAGCTATAGCTTGGGTTGAAAGTTCTTCAGCTGGAGCTTCTAGCGTATCTCCTGTCGTTGATACACAGTAATCCACGTCAACTAAACTAAGTCCAACAGTTTGAGCACAAGATAAGCTTCTTTGTCGAAGTGCAGAGAAGAGAGAAAATTCACACGCCATATATTGAACTTGAGCATCAAGATTTCTAGAGAGAAGATTTATAACGCATCTTTGAACGCGATTAGCCCAACAGTCAGCTTCTGCAAATTGACAAACGAGACTGCCATCATCGCTCCTACTTGTTCTTCCCCACGGCACAAATTCTATATTTAAAAAGTTCTTGTATTTTGCATATGTGGGCACAATTTGTTGGGTAACGAAATTTGCGGCATGAGGACATCCCGATGTTGTTCCAAGCCGGAGGTTAATTTATAGTTTCCAACGGATTTGCTGATGTTCCATATAAAAATATAGAAATCCAAACAAGATGTATTAAATACGACATGCTTAGCGTGTTTATGCACTGAATGTAAATAAATGAATTTCAACGTGAATAAGTTTTGGTTGCATTATAATAAAATTTATATATCCGATATAGATAAGATTATCCTATGCTTTATAGAAATATATATTTTTTATATTGCATTCATTAAGATTATTTAAGTAAATTGGTGAACAAAACAGTTGTACTGGAAGTCCTAATAGTAATCATTGTTATTTGTCACGCAATATTTATGATGATTAATTCATCGAGTAAGTAGATTCCCGTGTAGCTGTTTCCCCATACAATAACTGGTTATTTAAAGAACTATGAATTTTTATTTTATTACAATCTAGCGATATACGTGAGTGCCACGCTATAAAAGAGTAGCAATACACTCAGGGCGAGATGTAACGAACGGGCTCTGCCGCGGAAGTAGGCTGAATAATTGAAGACTATGGTCCCCCGTGTTGGATCGTCTAGCCGCTCGATCAATACTGCCCAAATGTACTGCACAAAGGCATGAACTCGTTTTGGCATTATCTATTTCCCATCTAGAGCGATGCTGTGTTTCTTCTGTTGCTTTAAGAATTCCAATTTGAAGAATTTTAATGGACGAAATTATTAAGTATATTTTTAAAATAGTGCATGTTAATTTTATGAGAAGGATTCATGGTACCTAACTTTAGAATACAGCTACGTCACTAGTATATAGTATATCTATATATATCCATTATTCATTACTTATATTATATACTGTAATAGCATTAACAAAATTAAACTTAGGTACTTATTCTATATAAAATATTTTTTAAGTTAAACAAATTCTATTAAGTATTATTAATATAATAATTCAAATTATTACATATATTAATTATTATTAGAAAGAGTATACATAAGGTAAACCCTCACCTACAAACTCTAGATGTATACGCGTTTGGGGATTTCTTTTTTCGTCGCACCTGCGTTCTTATACCGTGAACATTATTCTTAAAATAATCTATACCATGAATGAAAAAAGTACTAGATACACAATCCCATGCAAAAGTTCTCTTAAAACTGTCATCAATTAAGTTTAGGTAATTATTCTAGTTGAAATAAATATACAACTATGTAAATTGGATCTTAAATGCAATGGTTAAAGTTGTTATCACAAAAAAAATAAAAGCGCGCTCAAATGTTGAAATGAGCGCTCATTCGGTGAGGACATTTTTTATCGCTGATTGTGTATGTAGTACTTTTTTGATCGATGGTACGCTGAAATTTAGTGCGCAGTATTTGAAAACTGTTATAAATAACCTGTTTTTTTTTTGACAAAAGAGCATATTCATATCGTATTATTATTGTAAATTATAATAATTATAGTAATAATTAATTTATATTAAACTATACGTGAGATTTATATACAAAAATAATAACTCATTATGGCAAAATATAATGGTAAAAGTTTTACGAACAACACAGGAAGCTATTCTAAAAGCATACTCTTCAGAATATGAATATTTATTTAATAACTTATTTGTACACCTGCGTTCAAGATACTGTTGTGTATTCAATAGCCAAAGTCTCTAAGAAAACTGGAGTATTTTTCAAATATTCATAAGTTTGAGTTAGTTTGAAGGAGTTTAAAACTTCTGATATGCTATATATTTAGAAGGTAGAAGTTTCTATTTTATGTTTGTTATAATGCTCCTAACACTGTTTGAGTAGTAGGTAAATATTATATTCAAAAATTTCTTCTTATTAATTTTAAATAGAATTACAATTAAAAAAAACTGTAGTTTGAAATTTAATTATTAATCTATACATATAATAAAATTGTAACTACGACGAATCTGTACAATTAATATTTTTTGGAAAACCTTATTGAAATAGACATTACTATTGATACAGAGGCCAAATCTATAGTTTTAAGAATTTTAATCTGTCTGTCTGTCTGTAACCACGTCACAGGAAAACCACTGGAGGGATTTAGATGAAATTTGGTATGGTGATACCGCGATTTTTACCACGGGAAATTATCACATTTCCGAGAAAAAATGCAAAAATTAATCTGTAAAACCTAAAAATTTGGTTTTTGGTCTGAACGCGGGCGGAGCCGCGGGCAATGCTAATTTATTTATAAGTTTATCGTATAAACTATAATTAAACTATTGTTAAAATATTTTGTATTCGACCCTTTTTTTTCGTCCCACTGCTAGAAACGGCCTTTAATACGTAGGGGATCAGTCCATAATCCACCGCGCTCGGCAAGTGCGGGTAAGCGGACTTCACATGTCTTTGAAAATTTGCTAGGTTCTGTCAGAAATGCAGTCTTCACGCAATATTTTCCTTCACCGTAAGACAAGTGATAATCATGTTGAAAATTATGCGTACATATAAATATCAGAGATGCGAGACCCGGGATTTGAATCTGCTTCACTCGGTTTCCCAAGCAGCGCGTTACCACTGGGCTACCACTGCCAAAATTGTTTATAGTAGAACATTCTTCAATAAAATATAAGTATAACCACAAAGTTACTCGAAAACTAGGTCATATAGTTTGATTTTACCTTATTTTCCGCCCCAGTAGCGCTCTTGGAGGTACAGCTATTAGCAATAAACAATAACTTCCACACGAACGGGTATGAAACGTGAATCTGCTAATTAGGACATGAATCCTTTGATGCTAAATTGAAAAGGCGACAACACCTAGTTAAAGCTGTGAAACGTAGTTGCACCTGAAATCAGTTTTGCTTCATTTTTGTTTTGCAATGAAAATTCAGGTCAAAATTGTATTATTTGGTTTAATTTACAAGCAAATGAGCTGGTGTAGTTGCATGTGTACTGCAGATCGATTAAAAATTTTTTTAATTTAATTTTGCATATATTTTAATCATTAACATTACTGTTTCATTTCTTCATATACTGCGGAATGTTTATGTCTTGGTAGATAGAATATTATATTAGGGACGCGTGGAATTATCCATGAAAAGATATGTGAATTCGGAGCACGAACGTGGCTTATGACTCTTTGATACCTATAACTCTTTACGTTACAATAAAAAAAAAATATTTTTAAGGTACTTACAACTTATAAGTGTTATAAGATTATAAGATTATATTATTATCAAATTGTAGTCAATAAAACTTAATAGTTTTAAATATTTCATATCTCATATTTAGCTTATCTACTCGTATTCATAAGCGGTAAGGTTCTGTAATTAATATTTTCTAAAATATTATCATTATTGGTAAATTATACTCCTAATTGATTTCGGTCACGGCGGTCAATCAATCCAACGCAAATTAATACAATTTAATTAAATATTACAGTATACGTGTGTGTGTACGTGCAAAAATATGTCCACTCTCTGTTCTCACTGGAATTCCACAGGTTCCACTGAACGGTAATTCGACACGACTGAGCCTCCGGCCTGTTACTAGGGATTTCTTAAAAAACTTAATAATTAAACTTGGCCCAATTCAGGACCCGAACCCAGGACCTTCGTATGTGTAGCCGTACATGCTAGCCACTAGACCACCGAGGCAGTTGATTGGTTGGTTGGTAAATACTAAGAAGCTCACGTGTGAACTTTAATGTTAAGGGAAATGTTGCAATTCTTTTATTTCTTGAATATTTATTCTTCCTAGAAGTTTTCACTGTATCTATCTACTACCGGAACAATACACAGTAAGTAATATACATAATTACTATAGAAGCATTATGAAAATTATTTATTTCCTATTAAAGCTAAGTAACTAGCTAGCATATATATATATATATATATATATATATATATATATATATATATATATATATAACTAGCGATTTAATCTCACTTTGCTCGGGTGTGCCCCTAATTACTTTAATATGGATGGCCATAGTCTATCTGCTTTCTACATTTTAATCAAATCCGTCCAGCCGTTTGAACGCGAAGGAATAACAAACATACACAAACATGAAAACATTTTTAGTAGTCCGATAAGTAGATCGATTTCTCTTTTACAAGTATATTTTACAAATGGTAAATTCTACATATATTCTATAAGCTACTGTAATAAAGTTTAAAATTTAATTCCTCCATATCGTAGTGACGGGAAAAATATTCCGATCCCGGGTCACGAGATCGATTTCAATAAGCGATAACTTCTGCATGAGTACGCCGCTATCCTTCATAACCGTTTGCGGATGCCAATGATCAAAGCGAATACCGAATACTATGACCCATATTGAAGTACCCTTTTACAGGTCACTATTCTTAACTTAAGCGTAATATAATGTTGTGTAATATAAAAATTGTGATTTAACAACTTAACTGTCCGCAAAATAGACACAATAGTTAAACAATCGAAATTTCATATATAACTTATGGGACAGGGAAATGGTTAAAAGCATAATTATTTATTTTATTGAGAACTACGAGTGGCTAGATGTTTAAGCTTTATCCAGGATCTGACCATCTATTTCAATTCAATTCTTTTATTTCGTGGCAAATATTTCTTGGCTTTTTATTTGACACTAGCGACTCACCCTCACTCCGCTCGGGTTCGTCCCTACTTACGTTTGAACGTTTAGTATAGATTTCTCAGGGATGAGATATTTTCCCATAGTAAAAGTATCCTATATGTTGATCCGGATAACCAGCTGTCATCATACCAAATTTCATCAAAATTCCTCCAGTGGTTTTTCTGTGATGAGGCAAAAGACTGACAGACAAAAATTCTGAAAACTATAGATTCGGCCTCTGTATTGAAAATGATGTCTATTTTAATAAGATTTTCCAAAAAATATTTAATGTACAGATTCGTCTTAGTTACAATTTTATTTTATGTATAGATTTGGTTTGGTTATGCTATTGC